TGGCTCAGGCCTGTAATCCTGCATTCTGGGAGGCAGAGATGGGTGGATTGCTTGAGCTCAGGAGTTCGAGACCAGCATAAGTAAGAGGGAGACCCTGTCTGTACTTTAAGAAAAATAGCCAGGCTTTATGGCAGGCGACTATAGTGCCAGCTACCTGAGAGGCTGAGGCAGGAGGATCGATCGCTTAAGCCCAAGAATTTGAGGCTGCTGTGAGCTATGACTCTAGAACACTTTACTCAGGGTGACAGAGTGAGACTCTGTCTAAAAAAAAAAGTCAAATGTATGCATGGTTTCTTAAATAAATAAATCCATATAATATGTACAAATAATTAGAAAACTTATAAACATGTTAAATGAGATTTTATGAGCAATTTCTCTCACAAAGGAATTATTAAACATCTTTAAGAAAATAATTCATATTCAAGAAAATATCTTTCCATTTTTTCCTAGTCCTCACTAAAATTCACTCTCAGAAATAGTGGTGTTTTTTTTTTTTTTTTACACTGAGTTGAGTCTTGGGGAAACATTTACAGCAGAGAGAACAGCCTGAGAAAAGGTGTTGCTTCAGAAATCACCCAGCCATGTGGGAGCACACAGGCCATGTGGTTGGTGTGAGCTGGGAACGAGGGTGGCTGGAAGAGACGGGATTGAAGAGCCGAGTAGAGCTGAACTGTGAAGTCCAGGGTGAGGTCTTAAGAGCCTGGACCTTACCATGTATGAAAGACTCTGAGGGCTTCATGCTCAGGAGTCTGAATTTGTCCAGGAGGTAGATAAAAAGAAGTTACATGGGAGGCAACTCTGAGCAGGAACAGAACTGATCAAAGAAACATCAAAAAAACTGCTGTGCAGTAATATGGGCCCAGAGAAATCAGTGAATCAAGAGATGCTAATTCCACAACCATAATAGTTACCACCAACTAGAGCAAAGAAAAAGCAGAAAAGGTGGTTAGGTTGATCTAAGGCTGAAATGCGGGGCCTGGCTGCAGCTGAGAGGTGGGAGTGAGGGGACCCCCCTGACAATGCCGGCAAGAGTGGCCGTGGTGACCCGCCATGGGAATAGGCTGCTTGAAAATAAACCTCCTTTTCTTATAGCACAATTATGGTGCAGAAAGGAACCACAGAATAACATCTTTCATTTAATACATATCTGAAAGCGATGCACATGAGCTTTTCTGTCTTTTACTCCTTAGAAGTGAAAAGCACCAGAAACCAGACCGAGGCCAACCCTGCCATTAAGCTCCAAAGATAGATTCTCGCTTTTTAAATAATATTGTAATAGGGGCAGGGGAGCGACTGGATTCACTCAGACTGGATTCACCCAGGCTTTCGGTCACGTTACAGCATCATTAACATGAATTATTCTTTTTCTGGCTTAGTGAAAATGAAGATGACATTTGATGTCTCAACATCCCATTCCAGTTTTATAGTTAATGAGTTACTGAGAAGGTTTTATGTGTCTATCACTCTGTCTGTTTTTGAAATGTGAGAAAAAAGAAAGTTTTGAAATAGATTCATTTTTTACCATACATATAAGAATGAAAGCAACGCTATAATCTAATAAAAGTCTCGCTAGTGTGTTTCTAATACATGTGATCCTGCTAGGAAAGCCTTCTCAAAATTTTCCGGTCAAATATTTTGGTAACTACATGAAGTTGCTTTATATGTCTCAAAAATATAAAGCTTATTCATCCCCTGTTAGATAAACACATGGCTTCTTATCCTTATACTGACACTTCTTGCTAAAGCAGCAAATTATTATGCTTGGCAATGCGGGATCTAATAGTGATTTCCGCCAATCATTACTAGTGTCAGTATAGAATTAAAACACATATAATAACAAGAAATGTCGACAGCTGATTTGTCTATCAAATAAAAAGAAGTTTGGGTGCAGTGGCTCATGCCTATAATTCCAGCACTCAAATCCAGGAATTTGAGACCAGTCTGGATAACATAGTGAGACCCTGTCTGTACGAAAACTAAATATAGAAATGAGGTAGGTGTGGTGATGCACACCTGTAGCCTCTGCTACCTGGGAGGCTGAAGCAGGTAGACTGCTTGAGCCCTGAAGTTCCAGTTTATAGTAATCTATGATCAGGCCACCGCACTCGAGCCTCAGTGAGTGATAGAGCAAGACTCTGTCTCAAAAAAATAAATAAAATAAAAGAATTTTAAAAAGTTAAAAATTAGAATTAGAAAGAGAACAAAACATAAATATAACTTTTAAAATCATTTAACTTAAAATGCATGTTATGGTAATATTCAACCATAGTTTCTAGAAGTACGTGAAGGAATTATATAGTGACAGGCTCTAAAGTCCACAGATCAGTCTTAAAACTGAAAATTCACATCTTTGGATTACTGACAAAAAATACAATTACATGCAATCTACAAAGTACAAAAGAAAAATAGCCTTAAATTATTATATCTTTGGGATAAACTGAAGCATGTAGAAAAGTATGTTGAGGCATCTGTCTCTCTTACATCAAATTTTTAACAATGATGAACATGCCTTAGAATTTTCTTTTTATTTCGAGACAGAGTCTCAAGCTATCACCCTGGGTAGAGCGCTGTGGCATCACAACTCATAGCAACCTTCAACTCTTGGGCTCAAGCGATTCTCTTGCCTCAGCCTCCCAAATAGCTAGGACTACAGGTTCCCGCCACAGCACCCGGCTATTTTTTGGTTGTAGCAGACCTGGGCTAGATTCAAACCCGCCAGCTCTGGCATATGTGGCTGGCGCCTTAGCCACTTGAACTATAGACGCCGAGCCCATGCCTTAGAATTTTAAGTTGTTTTTAAAAATATATTGTTTGCAGAATATACTACAAATAAGCTAATACAGTAAAATATGACTAATGAGGAAATTGATAGCAACATGATTTAAGTATGTTCCTGTTCTGTAAGGAATCGCCAAAGCGTGCTGAAAAGCTATGTACCATCCAAGATGGGTTTCTCACCTCTCCCAACAGCATGCACCACGGATGGGCCAAATCCTCGGATCTGGAATCCAAGTCCATCAGCTGAATCTGGGATTTTCACTGTCCTAAAAACAATCAAAAAATAAGGTAAGAGGAGGAATTTTAAATCCACAATTGGTTAAAACAGTAGTTATCTACACTTAGATGTACTCTTTCAATAAATAGATACGGAGGGTCCATCATATGAAAGACAATTGAGCTAGAAGCCTCCAGAGCCTCACAAAGGCACACAGCAGCCATGCAAAACAGAGTCTCCAAACTGAACATAGTGATCACATGGCACGTCCCAGGAAAGGAACTTTCGTAAAATTAGTTATCGGGATAAGAAGCAATTAAACAGTTTATGGTAAACACAGATGGTGAGCCTGCTGTTAGGATTCAGAGAAACCTAGCTTTGAATCTTCATGTGGTCATTTTGTAACTGGATGACTTGGATAAACTCTTGAACTTCTCTGACACAGGAAGTTTCGCAGAAATGCCACAAAAGACAATGCTATGAAAACTTATCTTGCAGAGTGTCAGTGGGGATTCCAAGAGACACCATTGGTAACTTACCCTGCACCATGCCACCCGCTATGTAGGTACTTAGTAAAATGGAAGGTCCTCTCATTAGTTTACTGTCACAAAAAAGAATGAGTACCTTCTGAAACTTCTTCATAAAAGTTAATATAAAAGAAACACAGAGTTAATATAGTTCCACCTGTTGGGAACTTTATCAAAGGATAACAACAAAGACCTAGTTTTAAAGAACAGATGTGTCTATCACTGCATCAAAATAATTTCAGAAAACGAGTAACTCTGGTATTTATCTAGTGAAGTTTAAAAAGAATAATACATCAGAAGACAAATTTGGAATAAAAGAAGAAATATTTCCTATGAACCTACATAAAATGTTTTTTAAAAAGATGAAGGGATGGGAAACTTGAGTGAGCTGTCATGGCAAACCAGTGAGGGGTGCCGAGCTTGGCACTAATGAATAAGGTGCTCCTCAGGAGGAAGCCGGAAATCGGGCAGCAACGATGAAAGCAGAGACACAAGAGGAGGCGGAACATTGTAACAACAAAAACGAGTGCAACAAATCTCAGGAGACAGTAAAAACAAATGAACACCAATGCAATAAATTTTGAACAGCACTGATGGTCAAGGAAAAAAAGTGTTTCCCAAAAGATTAATTAATCATGAAATAAATGTCAGCAGCACGTCAAGAGCATGCTAGACAGATTTTGAGGACAGGTGCCGCAGGACCTACGGGCAGCTTAGGAAACAGCTGCTGGAGACCTTTGGAGCAAGACTGTGGGCCTAGAACCCCTGAGAAAAGCCAAGGACTGCGCTGCAGCCCGAAGGCACAGGCTGGCTTCAAACCTCAAA